GTGTCCAACAGGATTTTTTAAAGACTTTAGGGAGATACCTGTAAGAATCCCTAAGAAATCAATCAAAAAGTGTTTAAAATAGACATGCTTGCACATTTGATTTTATAATAAACATGGTATTTCAAATCAACATGAAAATGATGTACTATTCAAGATATGGTGTTGAAATAATTAGCCACCTATTTGGGGGGAAAAAAGAAAGTTAAACCTCTATGTTTGCAATCTACATAAAGGTAACTTCTAAATAGATGAAAAAAAAAGATCCTCAGGTGAGGATTAACAAAAAATAAATGAATGAAAAAGCAAAATATGTCAAATAGGATTAGAAAAAATAAAAACTTTAGCATAAAAAACTGTTTAAATATTTTCCATATCATTTCCAGTATCACTTATTGAATGGTCTCTCTTTCCCACTGATTTCAGATGCTATCTTTATCACTAAGTTCTCTATATACTTGAGGCTATTTTCCTACTTTAAATTCTGTTCTATTGATCTGTCTACTCATAAACCAGTACCGTACTTTTCATGAACAAATATGCTTTAATACATGCTGATTTTAAAATGTCTGTCATTTCTTTGAACTCTTTCCTTCAAATGGTGGAGCCTAATTCCCCTCTTCTTAAATGTGGTCAATACTTACAGATGCACTTCTCACAAACAGACTGTAGTACACTGATGTGACTTCCAAGGCTAGATCATAAAAAGGATAGCTTCCACCTGGATAACTACTAGCTCACTCACCCTAGGGAAGCCAGCTACCATGTCATGAGGACACTCAAGCAGCCCTTTGTAAAGGTCCACATAGTAAGAAACAGGCCTCCTTCCAACAGAAAGCACCTCCTTGGCAGTCATTTGCATCAGCCACCTCAGAAGTGGGTCCTCCGAAGAGACCACATGCCAGAACTGCCCAGCCAAGTTACTCTGAAATGCTGGCCCACTGAAAGTGTGAGAAGAATACTTATTGTTTTAAGCCACTAATTTGGGGGTGTGGGGATAATTGGCTAGGCAGCAATAAATAATATATTTAAGGCTTTATAATATACAACAAAATTATTGTCTATTGTTGTTTTTGGAGTTTTCTAGACAATTTCTTTTTTTTTTCCCACAATCTTTATCATCAGCTTGGCGTGTGTGCGTGTATGTGTGTGTGTGTGTGTGTGTGTGTGTGTACATAGAGGAAATTACATGCTACAAATTAATTTGAGAAAAACATATTTTATTTCTATCCAAGAAAATTATTTTTCCATTTGTCCAAGTCTTTTCTTCTGTACTTCATTAATATTTTAAAGTTTTATTCATATATTTTCCATATTTATCATTTAGTCTTAATTAGTATTGGAATTTTTTCTATTTTAAATGGTATTTTTATCCATTTTACACTCTAATGTTTATGGGTCACTTAAAAACTATCTAATGATTTATGCATATTAAGTTTATTAAATTATCTCATTTTTTGCAGTAGTTTCTCAGTTGATTTTCTTAGGTTTTCCATGTATACAATTATATCATCTGCCAGTAGCAAAAATTCTTACATCTCAATTTTTTTTTATCTAAAGTATTCTCTGGGACCCAGATTATAAATTCCATGAGTTCAGAGATTTTTGTTACTTTGCTCTTTGTCTCCAGCACTTGAAACACTGCTTGGCACAGAGTATGTGCTCACTAAATAAGTGAAGTAATTAAATAAACTGCATAAACTAGCAGCTCCAGTACAGTGCTTAGTTAACAGTACTAATAGTGGGCACCCTTGTCATCTTGTTCCTGACATGAGTGGGAATGTCTCTATATTTCCCCATTAAGTTTGATGTTGGATTTGGGGCTAATTCAAATGTATTGTTATCTCATGTTAAGCAAGTATCTATTTCCACTATACTGAACATTTTTATCTGAAATAGTTATTGAATTTTAGCAAATGTGCTCTTTTTATGAAAGACAGTAACATTATTTTTTCAAAAACTCTTTACACATGTGAAAGCATTTAAATATTTTAGTTCAACAACTGAAATACAGAAAAGCAATAGCTATAAAACTGTGCAGATGCTAATTTAAACAATAACAGAAAAGTGCTTTAAGTTATAGTACTTAAACTTCACTATTTAAATTTCATTCATTACATTGGCATAATATCTCATCTCAGAATCTACAATTTTGACAAATGCTTGAAAAGATTTTTGTTCAGAAACAGATGCTGGTCTGACAGAAACACATTTGAAAATATTATTTTTCTGGTCATAGTTTCCAACACACCTATGAACTCGGCCTCTAATCAGTCTTGGAAGTTCACGGTCCTGTTTTTGAAAAGATAAATATCAATAGTCATTTATTACTTCATCTAAATTTCAACTGTTTGAAACTATGTGACCAACTAAATATGAATAACCCAAAATGCTATACTCTCTTACCTGATTTAGGGCCCCACTGCTGACAAGACCATGACAGCTGGGCATATATGAGTGCCCTGTCACAGAGCAAAGACCTTTACTTGGGTAGGGCTTCTTACAAGCTAGCAAACTGCTACTCCTTAAAACACTGACTGATTATCAATGTAATGGCACATGAATTACTCACTTCTATAAGACTGCCAGAGTTCTACTTTCAGCAGGTGGCAGAAAGGTAGTTCATACCAACTCTCCAAGAACAACTGGAATAGCTGGATGAAATACTTAAAAATCTCCTCATAGATTTCAGACAGATACTAAGGCAATGAGGAATTACAGACTCCATCTGAGAAAGGAGAGGAGTCCAGAATGGGGCCTGATATTTGGGGATGCTTTCCCCTTGAGGTATCTATCAATCATAGTCAAGGCTGTGAAGTCTAAGAAACTGAGCAGAGCTTCATAGGGCTAGGGGGAAAAAATTAGAATCAGAGGCTCCTAAGAAAAAGAGATTCTGGTAACCACCCCCATCCCACCCCAGACTTAGGATTGGGAACCAAAAGGGCTATGCCTTAATGGGACTAACAAACCAGAAAAAGATCATCCAGCATCAAAGCCTCTTGATCATGAGTATATTTAAACTATTCTGGGACTGCTTTCACTAAATTGTCATAAAAAGCATTACCTATAAGCAAAGATGCTGATTACTGCTAAAAGAGCTATATTAAAGTGAAGAATTTCTGTTCCTCAAAAGCCACCATTAAAGGTTAAAAAGCAAACCATGAAGTATAAGAAAATGTTTGCAATGTACATAATGGACAAAGAACTTGTACCAAGAATAGTATTTTTTAAAATCTCCTATAAATCAATAACAAAAAGACAAATAATTCAATAGAAAAAAACAAAAACATGAGCCCTAGCCGATTTGGCTCAGTAGAACACCACCTGCAGACCAAAGGGTCCCTGGGTTCAATTCTAGTCAAGGGCAGACTCCTCCCTGGCCCTGGCCCTGGTCAGGGCACATGCAGGAGGCAACCAATCAATGTGTTTCTCTCACACTGATGCGTATCTGTCTTTCCCTCTCTCACCTACTCTCCCTAAATATCAATGGAAAAATATCCTCGGGTGAAGATTAACAACAACAAAAGATAGAAAAGGAAGAAAAGAAAGAAGAGAAAAGAGAAAAGAAAGGGAAGGGGGGGGAGGGGAGGGGAGGGGAGGAGAGGAAAATAAAAGAAAGAAAAGAAAAGAAAAGAAAAGAAAAGAAAAGAAAAGAAAAGAAAAGAAAAGAAAAGAAAAGAAAAGAAAAGAAAAGAAAGAAAGAAAAGAAAAGAAAAGAAAAGAAAAGAAAAGAAAAGAAAAGAAAAGAAAAGAAAAGAAAAGAAAAGAAAAGAAAAGAAAAGAAAAGAAAAGAAAAGAACATGAGGCCTGAACAGGCTTTACAAAAGAAGGTATCTAAATGGCCAGTAAGTATATAAGATGCTCAACTTCATTAGTCACTGGGAACTGTAGAGAAATGAGATAGCACTAAACACTCACTAGAACAGCTAAAATAAAGAAGAGTGGCATACTAAATGTTGAAAAGAATGAAAGAAACTACACTCACCTTTACTGATTGTAAGTGTGTAAATTGGCACAACCCTTTGGAAAATTCTTTAGCAGTAATTACTGTATTAGACCATACACATGCACTATGGTGCAGCAATTTTACTCCTAGGTATATATATATACCCAACAGAAATGCATGCATATGCACAAGAGACATATACAAAAATGTTCATAGAGCCTTACTCATAATAGCAAGAAATCTGGAAATAATCCAGATGCCAATCAATAGTAGGATGGTAAACTAAACCATGGTATATTCAGACAACAGAAAATTGTACATATAAATATAAATAAATGAACTATAGCTACATACAAAAATAAAGATGAATCTTACATTGTGTTCAGTGAAAGAAATCAGACATAAAAGAAAACATACCAGGTGATACTATTTATATAAAGCTTTAATAGAGGCAGAATTAACTTATGACATTAAAAGTTAGGAGATAGGATGTAGTGAAGGGGAGGAAGCACAAGGATGCATGGAGTAATAACAATGTTCTATTTCTTAACCTGGTAATATTCACTTTGTGCTACGTCACAGAATTGTACAGTTATGAGTTGTGCACTTTGTTGTATAAAGACTTTCATTTTAAAAAGCCTTAAGACTAGAAAATAATAAACACTCAAGATATTTTAGAAATTAATAACCTGACAATTACTTTTTCTTGATCATCTACTATCTGTCAGAAATGCTATATATTCATGTATTATTATCTAAGCTCCAAAACAACTATTCAAAGTAAAAACTAGTCTCCTCACTTTACAGATAAAATAACTGAAGCTCAGAAAGTTTAAGTAGCTTACTTAGTAAACGGTGGAATAAAAACTAGAATCCAGGTCTGATTTCAGAATTACAGTCAATTTCAGAATTAATGCCAAACTCACAAAGTATGTAAGTCATATAAGGCCTCCAGACTTCCTCTGTCACCCCATTCTTCATCACCAAGCCTCTTCCTTATATCCCACCCCACTCTTTGCCTTCCCCCAACCTCAGGACTACTACCTTAACCCCCATCACTTACGAACTCTACACTCTGATAACTATAAACTACTTGCAATTTCCTATACAATCCAGGCTCTCTCTTAGCTTCTTGTCTTTGAATATGCTGCTCTCTCAATTTAGCGTGCTTTCCTCCCTACCTCTCCTTTTCCCAAACACACTTTGGTTATTTAGTCCTTAAATATATAAAATAAGGTTACTACATTCTTTTAATCATTTCCTGATCTTCCCATCCACTTTTATAGCACCCTGCACATATCTCTAGCATACCATTTATCATACCACAATGCAACATTTATATAACCGTCTTTTACTGAGATTACCATCTCTTCGAAAGAGCCATTTACCATTCATATTCCAATTTGTATCTTTTGCATCTAGCACAGGGCCAGGCACATAGTAGCCTCTCCACATTAGTTAAACAGATAATTTTACAATCATAACTAAAACCAAACAAAATGTTGAAAGTACAACTAAAGTGTTAACATCATTTCTACTACAATGGAATTACAGTCTACATTTGTATGTTTTGTTGGCATAGGCTTTGCAAAGAATACTTAGACAAATACTCACTATTTCATAAAATACACAAGGTAAAGTATTTTTCCCATCTCTCATAAGAAAAGTCTTTGAATAATATGGTCCAGGTGTAACAGCTGAATCCAGAACACCTAAGTAACATTAAAAAAGGGTAGGGGGGAATCATTGATGGTAAATGCAAATAAAATTTAACAAAGAGAAGTTGATATTTAAATAACTATTCCCATACCAATGCTCTCAAAGTTTTATTTATAAAATAATAAAGAAGACATTTAAAGAGGAAAAGATATTTCTGAAACTGTTTTATACTAACAGAAAGAAAATTTCTGGCCTTCTCCAACTAAGGAACAGTTCATATGCCAAAGTTCATGCAACTGACAATAGCTGGCCATCTGAACCTTTTTCTTAGAATGTAGTCTATAGAATGGTAAATCCCCAGATGAGTCTATTACATAATAATAATGAAATACACACATATAACTAATAAGCATGGTGGTTTAATGAAAAAAAATAAACACTGAATTAAAATCAAAAGGCATGCATTTCAGTCCCAGTTCTTCCACGTACTAAATTGAGAAAATTGTTTTAAACTCTTTCAAATCTGTCTTATCTATAAAATGCAAATAATTATGTTTATCTCAAGAAAGTATCCAATGAGAGCATTTTTCCTTTAACAGCTACCTACTGAAAACTGATAATGAACATTTGTTATTTTGAGGTCAGCCTCCATTTCCCCTATTAATACCTAGATTTTCCTTTAGAAAACCTTGCCTATGCCATTCTTAGCCATATAATTTGAATTGAATTTGTCCCCAACCACAAATGCAGGAGTCAGCTGAGATGGACTTAAACCAATTAGTGTGTCCCATTCCCCAGCTTCAGACCACAGACAGGGTTTAGGTGATGGACTTGCTACCAGTCAGAAAATTATATGCAGCAGGTCATTTGCTAGCCCCTGGAAAAGACCAACCAAAAGAAATCATTGATGTATGTGGCACTGTGGTATAAGGATGGGTGGTATAAACAACTTTGATAAGCAGCTTAATGCCAAAAGGAAACAGTCAGAAGCTGCTGAACAGGCCACAGTTGGAGCTCCAAGATAAAGACAGTATTGTGGCAGAACAGAAAATGGCTAAATCCAAAAACATAATGCTGGCTGAAAATGCAACCTGTGTATTTTAAAACACAAACATCAATTAAAAGTCCACATAAATTTATGAAATCAGATGTATATAGTAATATTATAAAAGCATGGACAGGAAAGATGCCACAGTGATTATCTCTAGAGAGGAAAAATGGACAGGAGTTTGACATCTATAACGTGGGAATATGGGTATTCTCTATATTTTTCTGTACATTTAGAATATTTCATAATTTAAATTAAATATTTATTTTACTTAAACTATTGAAAGAAGTCTGTTCTGAATCTCTTTTACTTGTTTATCTCTTCATTCTAGTAAAATCAAATTCCAGAAACACTCTATTGAACTCTTCCACTTTTAAATATTAATTTAGAAAACATTAATTATAGGGTGTTCATATCAGTAAAGGGTCTTTACAAACGTTCTTTCAGAGTAGTTAAAATATGATTGAATTTATACACAAAATTACTACTGGATGTAGTCAAGTATAGTAGAAATAACACTAGATTGAGAATAAAGAACTTAGATCCATTTTTGCTCTCGACTAGCTTTGTGATTTCAGTCAAGTCTATTTTATTTGCCCCATTTCCTCACAAACTTCAAGAGTTGAGTTAGATTACTTGTAATAATCTTTTCAGTTTTAACATTATGAATCAGAAGAACACTGCATAAATAATCAAATACATCAAGTCACAAATCAATGACAGATCCAGGAACTAAAAAAAATCCTAATTAACTAGTATCTCCTTTTGCAAAATTTTATTTCTTTAAGATCTCCTAGGTATTCCTATTGACATTGAACACTATTATCTAATAGTACTACGTAAGTATTTTTGAAGTATTATACCTACCCAATATTTCAAAAAGAAGTACAGTTTTGGGGGCATGTTCACGCCAGTACTTCATGCTTTCAATAACTGCTGATACAATTCTTAAAGAATTATCTTTTTCCTTAAGCTTTAACTCATACAGTGAGGCATCCTTTTGAAAACATACAATGATAGTATTAGAAAAACAGTCATATTTTCCATCATACTCTTTCACTTTCTTTGTAAGGATTCTAGGTGTTTATAATAGGCACATGTGAAAAATATGTAAGAGAACTATTGAAAATTTTAGTACAGTTACTCCCATAAATTAAAGGCATCATTAGCACTTTATAGGAGGAGAAACTAGGATACACTTGGAGACAATCAAGAAGAAAATTATTTCTATGGCCATCCATTGGTTCATTCATTTGTTGAATATTTTTTTAAATGTCATGTACCAAACCTGTGATAAATATAGGTGAAAAGAACACAATTCTTTTCCTTAATGTTCTCATCCTCTAGGAGGGGAATCATTCATTCATTCGCTCACTCAAAAAGTACATATTGGTACCTACTATGTGCCAAACATAGCTAATGAGGAAACAACAGTGAACAAAACAGACAAGATATACCCTCATAAATTTTGACATCCAGTGGGAAATTCAGAAAATAAACAATAAATATATAATAGAATGTTAGAAATTTACATATCTTATACATTTGAAAAACAGTATAAAAGGCTAAAGAGAGACAGATAATTATTTTAAATAGGTTGTTGAGTAAGGACTATGGGAATAGAAAGTGTAAAAGGCCCTGAGATGGAATGTGTTTGACATTTTTAAAGATCAACTAAGAATACAATGTGTTAAGGTACTAATTTTTAGGGGGTGGTGGTGGCACTTTCCTTTGTGAAGGCAAGGCATATCTAAGAACACGTGATGGGACATTGTTTTCCAACTATAATTACCTTTCCTCCCTCTCCCCCTCTTAACTAAGTTATGAATGTCTCCTATAGAGGAAAGCTGCCATAATGAAACACTTTTATTAAGGTGACTACGTTGTATCATTCTTATGTATAAGGAAACCTAAGGTTGAGAACCGCTATGAAACATGCTATTTTAGTTAGATTTCCAGGAAGGAAAAAGAATTTACCTCAGATGAAAAGACTGCTCACAGACGTGTGGGCAGAACTAATCTAAGGCACTTAAGCACTCAAAAACTAACAACAATACAAAACTTCTCCCACTCGTAGGCTGAAAGGACAAGGGGAGGAAATGAAATTACCAAACCTGTGAAAGCTAGACTCTCGAAGGGACTACATGATGCCGGGACACAGCTACTGCCTGTGACACTACATTTAAGCAGGGAGGGCATAGAAAAACCCAACCTCTCTCCTCAGCCTTTGATGTCCTGCCAGTGACTCCCACTGGCTGACCCTTAACAGAAGTCAGCTAAGGGATCCTAAGATGATGCACTATGCAGTACAATTCAGCTTTCCAGAGGATAGAGGGTAAACAATCCACTGGGCCAGGGGACAGGGAGGGAAGACAGCAAACCTGCTATATAGTATAGACATTTGCAAAGAACAATCACAGCAAAGAATAGAAACAGGAAGTAAGGCTGAAGGAAGTACAAATATAGGAAGAACATAAGCCAAAGCAGAGTCATATTATCATGTATATCATGTTTAGAGAATTGTGAATATCTGAAAATGGCAAGTGCATTGCAGAATTAGTGGAATCTGAAACATGAGGTTAAAGGTAAAATAAAACCAGATTATAGAGCAAAGGTCAGCAAACTATAGCTTGTAGTCCATATCTAACCTGCTGTGTTTTTGTAAATTTTTATTGGAACATGCCACACTCATCCATTTACGTATTGTCTATGGCTGCTTTTAAGCTACAATGGCAGAGCTGAGTGGTACAGCTGAGCAGTTGCAAGAGAGACCATGAGGCTCATAAACAAACAATACTGTATTTACCCTCTGGTCCTTTAAAGAAAAAGTTTGCTGACCCTTGTTACTTTGACTGACATATGAAGAGCTTGGAGAACTTCTGCAAGCAATGGATAAACAGCCATCGTCTCAATTATTAGTAAACAGTGAAATTCAGAACCCAGTAGGACACTCTAAAGCAGCCGTGGGCAAACTACGGCCCGCGGGCCGGATCCGGCCCGTTTGAAATGAATAAACCTAAAAAAAAAAAAAAAACACCGTACCCTTTTATGTAATGATGTTTACTTTGAATTTATATTAGTTCACACAAACACTCCATCCATGCTTTTGTTCCGGCCCTCCGGTCCAGTTTAAGAACCCATTGTGGCCTTCGAGTCAAAAAGTTTGCCCACCCCTGCTCTAAAGCAACTATGAAAAGGAACAGCCGTTCACAACCTCTACGGAAATATTTGAGAAACATTCATTCACTCCAATTGACCTGCATGCCATGAGATTGACTTCAAATGTTCCTATCTCTAATTTTCTAAATACTTATTTATCTCATATTTTTGCATGTAAATACAAAAATGTAAATAATTCACACTTTAAAATTTACCTTGAGAGCGTTTTCTTCTGGAATATCTCCTAATGTTTTTGTCTTGAATTGATTTTGTTGCATACTGGGCTTAAATGCCTGTACTGTACTGTTTTTTCCTAGGCCTCTCATTGTGGAGCCAGGTGTTTTTGAAGAGTGTGCTTGTCCGAGTACTTCACATTCTCCTTGGTGAGGTAAGTTAGGAGGCTGAGATACTCTTAGCTGTTTCTGTTGTTGCACTCCCAAACTCACTGGAGAAAAATTTATTCCATCATTTGCCGCTAGGTTGGTTCTTTTGCATTGAGGCCTAAAATCACTTCTCTCCCAAGTTTTGAAGCTGGTATTTTTGTTGCCATCTCTGTAGCTGTAATAGTTTTTTTAAAATTAGTATTAGTTTTTGTTTCCATTTACATTTTCTTAATTTAAAAATTAATACGTAATTCTTATTTCTGAACTAGAGGACCAACGAATCTGTGCACCGGTGGGGTCCCTCAGCCTGGCTGATGGGGGAGAGGAGGCCAGCGGCCGGCTGGGGAGGGACGGCGGGAGAGCTCCAGGGCACGTCCAGCCCATCTCGCCCAGTCCAGATGGGCCGGACCCCAGCAGCAAGCTAACCTACAGGTCAGACCATCTGCCCTCTGGTGTCCAGTGCATGTCATAGTGAGTGGTCGAATGGTTGAACGAACTGTCAGACATTTAGCATAGGCTTTTATTATACAGGATAATTTTCCTGGAAATGTCACAAGAGGGCAAATAATACAACTCATCTCTTTTATGAAAATAATTTGTAACCAGATATAAATACAAATTGTATGAGATCTGAAGTTTGTATACTTTGGGGAGCCTTCTTAAGAAAAATAAGTACAAAATTAGGTATGAAAATAATGAGAAAATAAATAAAAAATAATTTCAAAATTTTAAAAGGTAATAAAAACCACAAACATCACAATATTCAGGAAAAATATTGTTAGTATTATGATTAATTACCTGATATATCTCAATAAGACATTTTTCGTACACTGATCACCTCTTCATATAATAGCAATTTTATTTTCAAGAAAAGAACAAAAATAATTTTGTCTTCTCTCTCTATGGATGTGGAAATTACTTTTATTATTCATAGTTTGGAAAAGTTTCTTTCAGCTTCACAATTCCTTACTGGTAATAGCACATCTGCAACTTCCTCCAACATTTTTGCTCAGGAGGTACTCCTAGCCTGGACAAGCCCGCTTCAGTAGCCAATCCAGCCTAGCCAGATCCTCAATATCCCAACTACACCATGAGGCCTAAGTTGTAGTGGCTCCTGAGCAGGGCAGGGAGCAGTGTCCCACTCAGATTCTTCTCTTCAGAGACAAAGATAGGGTCCAAGAGGTCAATACGATCCCCCAAAACAGGCTGTTGTTGGGGGCAGATGGATGTGAAGGTAAAGCCTAGTAGACTCTGAACCTAAACATAGAACCAGTTAAAAGATCTTCAGCAGGTTATGAACTGCCTAGTTGAGTTTTCAAATGTTTTCTGTTCCTGGATTTTCTGTTGTTTTATTCCAACTGTCTGACAAATTACCTATTATTTCAAACTGGATTATCTAATATTGGGTGACTGTCCAGATTACAACCTATTACCTAATTCTCAGTCTAATGCCTATCACAATAGACTTTCTCCTAGCACCTGCAGCTGAAACTAGGCCTCCAAAAACCATCTCAAAACTATTAATAGGCCTAGTTTCAAGCCCTAGTCCTGAAGAAAGTAACTGAATGGTCCTGAGGAAATTAGCATAATAATAAAATCAAAACTCATTTTTTAAAAGTGAAAATATTGTTTTGATGTATTTATTAATAACTTTATTAAGTTTCCCCTTTTAAAAAATATATCTTTAATAAAAGTCAGGGTAATATTAACTTCATAAGGTGGTTGTCAGCATTAAAATAGCATATCAAAGCACTAAATAATTACTAATATATATGTTTGATGCTCTTTTTCCAATACTTTGTTCCCAAATTATTTCCAATATTAATACAGTTATTTCTGACTCTGCCTTTTTTCAACTAGATCACTAATAATCTATAGAAAAATCATAAACTCACAGTGATCAATATTGGCAGAAATTTCATTAAAACATGAAGAAATCTTTGGAAATATAATCACTGCCAAATTTACCTAAAGTCTTTTTAACTTCTTTTATAAAATGTAACTATTATTGCTATAGTTGTTGTTAAGCAGAGAAATTTCCTAAATGTAATTCTGTCTAAGAAAGGAGGAAGACATAAAGAAGAGAGGGAGAGAGGGGGAGGAGAAGGAATAGAAAAAGAAAGAAATCTTAGGTAGACTCACCTCCAACCACTCTTGCTCCTTTCAGTGTTTGGTTCAATAGACTTAGACACAGAATCTTGACTTCTCAAGGGATGAGAAACTGAATGTGGTATTTGCCTTTCAAGGAAACATATCTTATTAAATATTAATAGTTTGTTTCCAAATTTAAAAATGTGAAATATACATAGAAGAAAAACATCAATAAGAGACACACATTCACTGATGTATGTTCCCACATACCCTGTGTTGATTGTTTTCGTTAAAGGGGGCAACTCTGGATTCATTGCTTCCCAGGCCCAATCTCAAAAGTAAACAGAAAGAAAAGTAAAGTAGGTAGCATTTAAAAATAATAATTATTTCATACTTATTTGACGGTTGAAAGCTTGAAGAAAAGAACTTAAAGATATGGACTTGTTGTTCAACAGCACTTTGTTGAGGAATCTCTCACAGCGTGCCTTACTAATTTTTATAGATGTCTTTCTCCCCACTGTGTTTCATGCAAAGGTAATAGGTTTATCTGTATCTTTTCCCCAATCAGTCTCAGTATAGTACCTTGTACTGTGTTACATGAATTCAATGTAATCAATGTTTCTTAAACTTTTTTATTCCAATCCACCGCAAGAAATACATCATAGCTCAGAACATACTTATGTGTGGTGTGCATGTGTGGGTATTGAGCAGGGGGAGAAAAAACATAAAATTTCACCAATTCTTATTCTTACTATGTGTGATACAGTCTGGTATTTCCTATTCTACTCTACTCTCTTCTATTTTTTTTTTTTTAAAGATTGTTTCCCAACCTATCTTTCAAAATTTCAAAAACACTGATCTAGTCCTCTCTCTCACCCAATATAAGAATTTCATATCTCTGAAAGTTATCCTGATCAGAGCCTGTAGAGTTCAGTATTTTAGGAGGATACAAATTTCTCTATGGAGCAGCTCAAATTTTTGTTAATATATAAGGTCAACATTATGCTACTTATAAAAATATTTTAACGGGTAGAGGATTTTTTATTTTTTATTTTTGTTAATCCTCACACCAGGATATTCTTTCATTAATTTTTAGAGAGAATGGAAGGGAGGGGGAGAGACAGAAGCATCGATGTGAGAGAGACACATCTATGGTTGCCTCCCACACAAACCCTGATTGGGCCTGGGGATCGAGCCTGCAACCAAGGTACATGCCTTTCACCAGGAATTGAACCTGAGAGCCCTCAGTCTGCAGGCCAAGTCTCTACCTGCTAAGCCAAAATTTTTTAAATGTCAGAGTCTTAATTTTTTTAAATGGCATTGAATAACCAGACAAATACCCATTTATGCATATTCATGTGAATATTTTATCGATAAAAATGGGAAAATATGAAATCCGTACTTCAAATTCCTCAAATGTGGAAAAATATAAATTTAGAAGTAGATTAAGGTCTATGGTTCAACAGTGGATAAAATTAACAATACAAGTATTGAGAAAGAGACTGATTAGTTGATTTTAAAATTCTAATTGCATAAGAGTCTATTATTTTTTAAGAAAAATGTAAGCGTATATAATCAGCATGCACCAAATATATTTCAGAATGTCTTTCTGTCCGTGCCTTCTTTCTGAAGATAAGTAAAATGTCAGTAAAGTTTAAGACCTCCCAGGGTCTAGAATTTGAAAAAAGAGATACATTAGGAGATCAATATGGGCTCTGAAAACTAGACTTAAAAGGTTATCTCAATTCTTAGCCAAGGCAATTTAGTTAACGTACTTGTTGAAACTATAGGAAGCCAACAAAATAAAGATAAAAATGCTATAGGAGAAAAAAAGACTGAGGCTAAACACTAGAAATTCCTGGGCTTCTACCCTTCCTAAGGTCTTCTACCCGTCCTGTGTTCCCATACACGCTTTATTCTTGAGGCAACTTGAGTTTCTTCATTCTTTAGCACCAAATGTCTAAAGCAGCAGTCGCCAAAGCTTTGGACCTCACGGACCACAGTTGCCGACTGCTGGTCTAAACCACAATATCCATGTGTATCATGAAAAAGAAAAGAAAATTATTTACAATATAGGTTACCACTTCATTAAAAGAAAGGCTCCAGAACTTAGATACTCCATTTAAAATTCTAAGCCACCCTTATAGACAAGGAAACTCAAACTACTGTACTGGAATGCTCAGAAAGAGTCAAGTAATCCCTATATTTGGATAATGGAAAGAAGAAAAACATAAAATAGAAATGGTAATTTTCTATAATCTTAGTTCTTATTTTCTAAAAGTTTGCAACTTATTTTCTTACCTGTTGGTAGAGGAGGGAAATCATAACTGTCGGAAGTAGTACTGATACCGGGATCATTTTTAAGTGGATTGGAAGTTAATGGCTGTCTAGTCCTCTTTTTCTGATTGAACAAAGGTACAGGCAAGCAGCCTAAATTGAATGTTCCAATAAATTAGTATATATTAGGAAAATAGATCTAGTCATAGAATAACTTGTCTACTGCTATATCTTAATTGTATATTTATTATAAACATAGTTTATAGCTTTGACTGATTCTTACATTCTTTTTAAGATCCTAAATAGCCTCATTTGTTTCTCTAAAATCTCCTTTTTTAACATTTTATTTTCAAGTGCAGCTTACATTCAACTTTATTAGTTTCAGGTGTCAGTGTGCAGCATAGTGGTTAGACAATCATATTTTTTATCCAGTAATCCTCCTGCTATTTCAAGTACCCACCTGGCACCATACATAGTAATTAAAATATTATTGACTATATTCTCTACACTGTACTTTCCATCCCTGTGACTGTTTTGTAACTACCAATTGGTACTTTTTAATCCCTTCACCTTTTTACCTGGTTCCCCCAAACTCCCTTTCCTCTGGCAACCATCAGTCTGTTGTCTGAATCTAGGAGTCTGTTTCTATTTTGTAAAAACTCCTTTCTTGTTCTAGGTCAGTGGCTGGCAAACTGCGGCTCGCGAGCCACATGCGGCTCTTTGGCCCCTTGATTGTGGATCTTCCACAAAATACCGCGTGCAGGCGCGCATGTACAGTGCGATTGGAACTTCGTGGCCCATGCGCATAAGTCCGGTATTTTGTGGAAGAGCCACACTCAAGGGGCCAAAGAGCCGCATGTGGCTCGCGAGCCCCAGTTTGCCGACCACTGTTCTAGGTTACCACTGCCTTATTTCCTCTTCTTTGGAAGTACTTCCCATCTCATCCCGCCCCCCCTCTCCACCCCAACCCTTCCCAAATCTACTTTTTTTTTACTTATTTCCCACCTATGCTTGCCTATTACCATATCAACTAGAGGGGACCCTTCAAGTACAAAAGGGGTAAAGGAGAACCAGACATTGAACCATGTTTTCAAAAACCCTAACCACTCTTTGGACTATGGTAGCATACCCTTTAGTGCCATGGTTCTCAAACTTTAGTTTGACTAAGATTTCGCTGGAATTATGCTTAACATGCCAGTTCCTAGACCCTACTCTCGTAGGTTTTATTTCAATAGAAACTCTGAAATTTTAATAAGCACTCCAGGTATCTGGAATGCATATTTTCTGTGGATCATGTTGACAATGCATTAGAGTGATAATATCCAATCCAAATGAGAACAAACACTACCCCCACACCCTCCAGATAAAAGAACTGGGATCTCAAGTCAAGCCAAAAGTCAGAGTTCATAAACAGTAAAACTAGAAAGGATCTCAGAGGAAAATAGGTCCTAAAAGCTTGCACATTGCCACAGGGGAGAACCTAGATAGAACCTAAGCTTCCTCAGTCTCAATTTACACATCTTGCCTCTGTACCATACTCTAGCTCCGTGGTTCTCATCCTTCCTAATGCCGTGACCCTTTAATACAGTTCCTCATGTTGTGTGACCCCCAACCATAAAATTATTTTCGTTGTTACTTCATAACTGTAATTTTGCTACTGTTAGGAATCGTCAGTTAAATATCTGATATGCAGGATGTATTTTCATTGTTACAAATTGAACATAATGAAAGCATAGTGATTAATCACAAAAACAATATGCAATTATATATGTGTTTTTCGATGGTCTTAGGCGACCCCTGTGAAAGGGTCGTTTGACCCCCAAAGGGTCACGACCCACAGATTGAGAACCACTGCTCTAGCTGGTCCATCAAAACTTATACTGCAGGAGAGTTTATTAAGAAATAAACAGTTTGCCGAAACCGGTTTGGCTCAGTGGATAGAGCGTCGGCCTGCGGACTGAAGGGTCCCAGGTTCGATTCCGGTCAAGGGCATGTACCTGGGTTGCGGGCACATCCCCAGTGGGAGATGTGCAGGAGGCAGCTGATCGATGTTTCTCTCTCATCGATGTTTCTAACTCTCTATCTCTCTCCCTTCCTCTCTGTAAAAAACCAATAAAATATATTTTAAAAAAATAAATAAATAAACAGTTAGATTCTGTGATAACTGATGAAGTGATATGGGCTCTGGCATCAAACTTCCTGAGTTTGAATTACGACTTAAAAGTAGGGTGGAATTACATACAACTTCAAAGTATAAACTTGGGCAATTTTCTTAAACTCATTGTGCCAACAGGACATACTAACAGGCAGGATAATACAATGATTAAGAGTATGAACTCTAGAGCCAGATTTCAAGGTTCAAATCCTGGTTCTGCCACTTCCTAATTCACTTTTTAACAACCTCTTTGTGCCTTAGTTTCTCACCTGGAAAACAAGGATGATAATGCCCATCTCAAAGGATTGGTGTAAGAATTAAATATTTTACTACTTAAAACTAAATGCCTAGAAATACAGTACATTCACAATAAATAATAGCTATTATTATGTTCATTGTCCATTCTCATCATTTACCTGGTTCTCTTCATTCTTATCCTCTAATTAATAAATCGGGAAGCAGAAATAGTAAGGAAAGCTTTTAGGGAGACAGCAGTGCTTCTGGAAATTTAAATAAGTCATAAATACAAATAAAAACAGAACTGAAACACATAGGGTTTGTAGGAAGACCACTCATAAACCCAGGGAAGTATGATTTTACTACCACTTCAGCCACTAAATGTTCTCCCTTAAATTATTTTATTTCCTTGTACCTAAATAGTAAAGAAGCTAGACTACATGTTCATTTTTTCAAAAATTCCTCCAAAATGCTCCATCTATAAATTACACAAGCTTTACATAGTATATGCAAAATATAGAAAATTTTAAAATAAAAGTTGTTCCTACCTGCTGTACTTCGGGTTGAATTTTCATTTAGGTTTCTCTTCATTTCCATCAATATCCAAGTCAATACCTTTGTCTTTAGCACATGAAGTTATTGGACTAAACCTTCAAAGGAAGAGACTTATAACTTATACCGTGTCAACAACAAAATCAAATTCTTAGCCTAGTAATTACTGAAATCAAGGTTTAAAAACTATCCTTTCAAACCTGATCCTGGTAACGCTTTGTGGAGTCTTTCATCTCTGACTGAGAATGAACGACGTGAACCGTTTCCTCGGCTCTCTTCCAAATCAGCGAGGACCAGGGTGACTGTAACCTCGCCTCCTCAGTGAGGCCATGTCACACAAGCCTCTGTAAGCAACTTTAGAACTCATGACCCACAGATAGGATAACTCCGAACCAGGTCTGACAGCAGAACGGGCCACAGCACTGGCCAGCTCTGTGCCTCGAAGGCCGGGAGGCAGCACCGGCCACGGCCCTGGCCGGGCGGGAAGGGACAGGTCTCCTCACAGCACACCATGGCGGTCCCCTCCCCGTCCCGAGCCCGAGGTCTCTGGGCTACGTAACCACAAAGACTGCGGCCTCACTTAATACCCAGAATAACCGAAAAGATGTTTCCACTCAGCGTTTCCAGAATTTCAACAAGACAAACACATTTCTCTGCTTGCTTGCTTTGACAACAGAATTTCCGCTATAATTTTTTCCCCATATTTAGCCTCCCTAATACATTTCAACCCCAACCGAATTCAACAAACGCTTCCCTATCATGTGAAAAGGCAAGATACCAACGTTCATGACCCAGTGAGGCAGACAGACAGGAACGCAACTACGTCATGGCGAATCGTTCTGAGGTAAATGTTAATTTCCAAACACAGACATGAAACCGGGGAACCGTAAGGGCGGGGACTGCCTCCGCTTTGTTTCCTAACTTGGACGTGAAGCCGGATCCCAGAAACATATTCCTGATGCCAATCTAGGAACCCAATCGGCGGTTATGAGGCTTTTTCTCAGCCCAGAAATACCAACGCAACGCACACCCGAACCCGGAGGGTGGTGGGACAAGGGCTATGACGGTTCCGAGTTTCACGCAAACAGAATAAACCTGCAACATCAACCCCGGGACCACTGACCCTGGGCCAGGGCCCCAGCTTCCAACCGGCATTAATGTGGCCGGCCAAGAGGACAAGCAGAAAGTTTGCTCAATTTACAAACCCGAGCGCGCACCCACACACACCGCACCCCCAAAGCCCACTGCCTCAGGGAGAGGCCAGGAGGCCTAGTTTGACCCCTCGTGGGAGAGGCGTTCCAGTCAGGGCTCATGCTCTCTTCCAACATCCCCTCCTCACACAGGAAATGGGGTAGTTTGGTAACTAGCGACAAAACGGGCTTTCCCTTCTTGGCTCTCCAACCCGCGCCATACGCAACTTTTACCCGCAGGTTTCGCCGCCACGGTCAACGGTCGCCACAGTCAACTGTCGCCGCGGAGACTGCCCAGTCCACGACCCCGGACCTCCTAAAAAGCGCGGGAAGTCGAGCCCTGCGCAGGCGCAGGCACAGGCGTGCAGGAACCTGCGCAGGCGCACCTCAGACCACCGCTGCCAGGCATGCCTCAAGTCTGCGCAGGCGCAGCTCAGACCACCACTGCCAGGCGTGCCTCAAGTCTGCGCAGGCGCACCTCAGACCACGCTGCCCTCCCATCTGGCCTCCCCTGCTCCCCCCACCCCACCCCCCGCGCAGGCGCAGAGGCCACCACCTTGGGAGTGAGCACACAATGGCGCGGGGCCCTCTGCTGAGGTGGACAAATACCGCCTCTCCCAGGAACCATGACGTTGACACGCCTCCCCTTGTGTCCTCACACTGTCATGTACGAGGTGCAGGGAGGGCGCTACCTCTTTAGAGTTCTGCCCAGAGAAGAAAGACTGTGTTCTAGTCACGGGTGAGACGATGGCAGATCTGCCCAGCCGGTTTCTGCCCCAGATTTGTCAGAATCTGTGCGAGGGCCAGTCGCCCTGCCCCCTGCCCACCCCCGGGGTCATTTCTTCGGTTCTGGACGTCAGTCCATACGATGCTGGTGGCAACCGCGTGTGCCTCGAAGAGAATGAGTCCAAGGCCGCCGGCCTTCGGAAGCAGGTCCAGGGTCTCCTTGGTCGGGCTGCGTTTCCCAGGCACAGCCATCAGGGCACCGGCCACAGGAGGCCGGCCTGGCTGGTGCGAGAGCTGAGGCCTGGGTCCAGGAGACAGCCCTGCAGGTGGGGAGCGGCCGCCAGGGCAGGGCCAGGGCTGCAGGAGCTCGGAGAGGGGAGCACGCGCGCCTCCCAGGCCAGGCCGGAAGGAGCGGGATGGAGCCGTGACCCTAACGCTGACCTCCCACTCCAGGCGGCTGCTTCCAGACCGGTGACCTCGGGCAAGTTACTTACCCCCTTTAGACCTGCATTTCCCGCTTAGTGAACAGCAAAACAATATTAACTTAATTGTCCTCAAAATCCTAAACCAGAAAATGCTCTCTAACTGTTAGCCCTTATGTATAGCAAGCTGCCAGTTACTGAGTGCGCACTAAAGGCCGGGGCCAGTGATTCTCCTTCTGTCTGGGTTCCAAGACCATGTTTTGGGGTTACCATGCGTTCCAGCCATTCGAGGCCTGGAATGGGTGAAGGAGGAGGTGTAGAGAGCGCAGAGGTGCAGGGAAGGTTGTGAGTTAAAGCCTGGGACTAGGGCACCATGGGACCAAGAGCGGTTTCTTTGAAGATTAGGTCCAACAGAGGAGGGTGCGGGGAGATAGGATTCGAGGTGGGCTTGAGACCGGCTAATATGGAACCTTGAACGCTAAACTGCAGAAACAGTCTGAAGCAACAGAGTCTTCTTTTAATCTGGAAAAAAAAGACTTTAAACAAAGTGTCTAAAAAGACTTGTTACTCGTCATGGTTCCAGAGAGGAGACTTTAAAAAAAAAAAAAAATGAGTAGAAGCTTCAAGGAAGCCAATTTTAACCTGATACGTACATATCTACATAATATATACATATACACACACTGCCCACCTATCCCTGGCAAAATAGAGATCTCATTAAAAAGAAAACTATAGCCCTGGCCAGTGTGGCGCAGTCGGTTTAGCATCCCCCCATGCACCAAGAGGTCGCCAGTTCGATTCCGGCCAGGGCACATGCCCGGGTTTCAGACTCAATCCCCAGTGGGGAGCATGTGGGAGGCAGCCAATCGGTGTGTTTCTCTCTCCCTCTCCCTTCCTCTCCCTCTAAAATCGTTTTTTAAAAAAAAAAAAAAAATTAAAAAGGAAAACTGTAAACCCACTATAAACAACATCCTGTACTATATCTGTAAGGAATTATACGCATGAGCAATGTGCAATCTTTGATAGCAGCTTACAGACTTATCTACCTTATCCCTATCTTGTCCTGGTTATCATTTATTTCCACCTAGAAAGTTGTTCAGGATGGTGACAGCAATATGGCCCTAGGGGAAGAAGAAAAAGTAGAATAGTTTGGTTACATGACTGCTGGACTACCACATTATATATGAGACACCTTACATATAATATTGGAGAAAAGATCCTCTTTATTTTTTAAATATACTATTTTAAAAACAATCCCACCTGAAATTTGATTCCCACAAAATTTCTGGCATTGATCTATTGGACAGCCATGACTATAAAAAGTTTACTCTCCCTTTGCTTTAAACTACATTATTTTACCAATAAATCAGACACCACCACCACACACACACACAAAACATTTGTAGTGCTGGAAGTTATTAGGCTTATTCTTTTAAGTACTTCAAACATTAAATATTCAACCCAATAATGAGATTGTGACAACTAGAAAGGGTTCCACTTTGTATACTCTTGGTTCTCTGAACTTTCAAAAAACTAGACTAATATTTTTTAATCGTCACCAGAGGGTATTTTTTCACTGATTTTTAGAGAAAGTGAAAGAGAGAGGGAAATACATAGAGACAGAAATATCGATATGAGAGAGAGACATCGACTGGTTGCCTTCTGCACATGCCCTCACCGGGGCCGGGAATTAAGCCTGCAACCGAGTACATGCCCTTGACCGGAATCGAACCCGGGACCCTTCAGTCTGCAGGCTGACACATACACTGAGCCAAACCGGCTAGGGCTAGACTAATTTCTTTAAGTGGTTTTTGGGGGGCTCTAAAATTTAGTGTGCTTTGGGAAACAGGGAGTTAAAATCTTTCGGAAGTTAACTGGGTATGAGTATGAAAAGCCGCTTGCTCTAGCTCTAAGGAAATGCTCTCCTTTTCTCTAATAAAGCTTTCCACAGAAGACAGACTCTAACAATAAACAAGGTAAGGATGGGACAGATTTACAGGGATTTATTAACTATCAAAAAAAGTTACTCATTTTGTATGTAAGGGAAACTTTACTTATGAATGTTAAATGGGCTTCAAAGTGCTGACCTGTTAAAATTCCATGAAACAAGTCTCCAAATACCAGTCATCTGTGCCAGCCATGAGTAAGTAACTGCAGCAGCACTTCCAGAGAGACTAGGGCAGAGGACACAACTAACCCCAAATCGTCAGAAGCCCAAACAAAATATAAGCAAGTGTTAATAATTCACCATAGTTACTGCTCTTAAAACCAAAGTAGCTACACAATAGAACTACCATCTGTTTGTACTTATGCTCGTTTTCAGCCTCTCCACACTGAAGTGTTCAAATGTACAGTGACGTGGGTAGAAAATCAAAAGCTACGGGGGCTTTGAGTTAGGGTAGGACAGTCATTTTAATATGTAAATTTAGGTTTCACTGTTTTGCTTTCACTATCTCTAGGTTATAATCTTTTAAAGAAAGCACACAGGAATTGGTTGAATAAATGTTTTGAAGTTTTCACATTTTATATTTCTATCTTGTATTTTGTTTGTATGCTTGCTTGTTTCTGAGGCACACTGGAGTGACTGTTTACGTGAATTCCAGAGGAGCAAAATTAGAACTTTGGGGAAGGCCAAAATTAACAGGAAGCACCCTGTTGTTCTGGGAAAACACTGAAGTTAAACTTAAAATCAGAAAACCTGGGTCCCAGGCCTGGTTGTCTACTGGCAGCTGAGGAACCTTAATCAAGTTGCTTAAGTTATCTTTCCTTTACCCCTGTAATGGAGTGTCAGTACCTACCACACCCTATTTAAAAAGTGGATACATGAATAAACTGAGATAACATATTCAGAAAAACAAGACAGATTAAACTGCTCTGCAGTAATGGATTCCTCTTGTTGCACCCCTAGCAAACAGTCTGGCATCACTAGTACACACAGTGTTTCCAGTACTTGATCACATTTGACTTTCTGGATGGTTGAGCATGAAATCAAATCAGATTTGGTTCAGAACCATATCTCCAAAGGAATGTAACCATCTTTGTGTTCTGGCTAGTCTCCCCTAATAAGACCCCTCTTGAGTAACACAGTCCAGTGGAGAGCCTCTGCTGCCAGTAAATTGAGCTGGCTGTGTCTACATAAACTCATACAATCTGGTTAGCACATGTAGCACGCCC